GAACTAAAAAAATTAATTAATAATTTAAATAAGAAAACAACAAAAAATAAAAACAACAAAAAAACAAAAAAAAACATAAAAGAAAAAAATAATCATTACAATAGTTGTAGAAGTGTCATTAGCATATGTTAAAGATGTCATTAGCCTTTCCTTTGATTATATATTCAAATACGAATAAATTGTTTTTGAAAGAATGATGGTGGTGCCCAACCCATCATGTGACGCCTTTTTGTCAAAACAAGCGGGAAACGCTATCAAATGGGTCTCCACTCCAACGTTCAACTCTCTCCTTTCTTATTTTATTATTTATTTAAATATTTGTGCACAACATAATCTTTTACCTTTTATTTTAAAAAGAATATGCTTTTTATTTTCAGGAAAAAAATCATTACTTTTTTTTTGCGATTTAATTACATTAAAGTTAAAGCTTTTATTAAATAATTGGAACAAAATCTATAATTTTTTTTTCTGTTTTTTTTTAACTTATTACCACCCAGTTTTTTTTATCTTTCGCAATGTTTTTATAATTTTTTGTATTTTATAACTAAAAATAAAATAAAAAAAGTATATTTTACTTTATAACAAAATAAAATAGTAGTAATATAAAAAGTAAACTTTAATTTTGATGCCGGTGGTTTAGTGAAATATTTGAAAGTAGGACCGGACAATAATAAGTCCAAAAGACATTCTTATGGTTTTCGCTTTGCTCTGAAAATGATCCATGATCACTAGCTCCGTCAATAATATCCGTTAAAATGAGGGACGGTTTAGTCTTTTTATCTATTTTTCTTAAATGTCTTTAACAAATATATTATTTATATATTATTTATTAAATTATATTATATTTTCTTTCAAATTTATATATTATTATTATACATACATTTATAATATTTTTAGTTGTATAAATTAAGAAACAATATATAAATTAAGAAAATATAATATATAATAAGAAACAATATATCAATTCATATATACATATAAAAAATATATATAAATTTTAAAAAATATAATATATAATTTACATATTATATTTTTCTTTAAAGAATATTAAAAAAAATAGTTAAAATGATTAAACCGTTGTTTATTTTAATAAAGATTGTTAACGAAGTTATAAACTATAAGAGCAAAATAATAAGGGGGTGTTTGGGATTGCTTATTTGCAACAACTTAATTTTTTCTACAAAATCACTTATCAACTTATTATAAGTTGGAAATGTCTAACTTTTTCAAAAAAAAATTATTACCGGTTTTATACCGGTATAAGTTATTTATTCAAACACCTTAAAAATATTGATTACCAGTATTATACTAGAATAGGTTAATAAATATATCATGAACCAATTTATAGTTTACTCTAATATAAATAATCACTTTAGGAGGAGGAGCAATGTTTTTCTGCAATACACTTAAACAATCAAAAGTGACGATTTTTGAGAGCATCTTTCTTGTTTCTTGAATTTTTGATTTCCTTTTTGTCCCTTTTTTACTTCTCTCTCTATATTTCAAATTTTGTTTTCAACGTCTTTTTCTCTATCTATTCAACGTCTCTATCTATCCATCACTACATTCTACTGCTACACCTTCAGAAGTCGGTATTTGGAGCAGCGAAAGAGCCCATTTTTTTACTTAAATTTCTTATAGTATGCAACTCAGCTTTGAACTCGTAGTTTTACTTGCAACTTTCCTTTTTCTTTATACCTATATTTAAAGAATCGTATACCTTGAAGTTTCCCCTTTTTAAATTTCTTTCTGGTTGTGGTGGTTGGATGTGATAAGCACAAGATGTTTACAGAAGGACTGGATACAGATGCTGTTAGATGGGCAAAGGAGGTTGGTTTCCAACTTCTTCAGATTGCAAATGTTAAGAATTTCGTTCGGGGGTTTCTAGGATTCACTTGCAATTGTAATTGATTCTTTAGTTTTTTCGTTGAAATCATGTTTAGGTTATCTTGAACATGTATCTGAGTTGTTGTTAATTCATTTCTTTTAATCATTTAATCCTTGAATTTATGCTTGGTTTTGTATCTAGGGTTTTTAAGTTGAAACTTAGCTTTTTCCCTTCGTGATAATTTGGATGAACTTACTGGATCTTGAATGGTGATTGAACCCCTACTCTTTGCTTATTCACAAGACAAAATATACTGTGTGTTTTGAACTTGATTATGGTAGAAAATTCATCGGTAATTCACTGAATATCAACTATTTCCTTGTTTATTCTCCATCAACATCTGGGTATTTGTTAATTTTTGTTTCTTGGATTCCAAAATTCAAAATTTTAGCATTAATTTTGGTGGGTTTTCCATATCATATGCACTATTGTTTTCAAGATCTGAATTTATATTTATGCTTTGAATGCAGGGATCGGGTAATCCTAAAAAGGAAATTCCTCACTCCATATCAAATGAACAAACTCGAATGGATTCAATCTCTTCAAGAAATGGGACTCGAGGGTTCGGACTGCCTCCACCTTCAAAATTCAAAAGTGGTCATCTGCCTGTGGTTGTTCCAATATCTCAGGTCTTACCGCGAGATGATATTAATTCCACTTCTGAAGACATGTCAACAGATTCAGACGGAGAGGTGTATGGTGGACGATACTCACTAGATTCCTCTCCCCAAGATGATAGAGTTCCCTCCGTTAGTAATAAGAGGTATCACGATCCTGTGCAAAGGCGCCCACAGTATCATGTGTACTCTAGTGATGTGAGCTCTTCGATTGAGAAGCCTCAGGGAAGAGGGAAAGGGAATGTGGCTGATAGATTAATGATGAGGGGAGCTCATAGGTATCCTGTTAGAAGCAGTGTATATACAGAGGATGAATCTGATGATTCTGCAGCTAGCTCGGAGTTTTCAAGTACACAAGTAGGGGCCAGCATTGAGAATTTGGCTCGTAAAGATGCTTACACTTCGGATGGTTATTCATCTCATGTTTCATCACAGGTCAACAGAACGGTATAAATCTATTGACTTTCATCTTCTTTTTGATGTCTATGATATTTATATACTCACGCACGCTAGGATCTGGATACCATTGGGCCAATGACCCTTTGGTTATTGACTTTCATCTTGTTTTATGTTTGTGGAGTTCAAGTCTTGTTAGGAGCATAAACGGTTCCCAGTTGGTTCAGTTGAGCCAGAACCTCAAACTGAACCATCTCTACTTAGTGTCATAGTCTTTGAACCAAACCAAGTGGTGAAAAGTGAAAACCCATTACATTCGTTCCAATTTTGATATTAATCCTTTTTAATAAAAGTAAATAGAAGAAAAACACATCAACGGCCATTGCGGAAATTTTTTTACAAGCACCCAAATGATGTTTTGAGATAGGTTTTTTGGGTATTTCTTAAACACCATTTGGTGACTGCTTACTAAATAGTAAATGTTGTGTATTTACTTCAAATTGTGTAGTATGATAAATAAGAAATTCTAACACAAGGTTAATCAATATTATTCAACATGAATGGTTTAGTTTTGGTTGTTTACATCTAGGATAACGTACCCACTAAATTTATCAGTTTGAAAATTTCTTGAACTAGAACACATACCACATGGTCTCAAAATCAAACAAACCTACCAGTTTGGTTCTGCTCAGTGTCTCATTTTTTCAGTTCTGTTATTTGTATGAAGACTTTGGTGAAAAGAAGTTTACTTTCCTCTGATTCCGTGTTTGATTGGAGAGTCAACTGTTGCAGGAGTTACATGGTAGAAATATCCAGAAACGGCGGTCATCCAAGGAAGATTTTCCCAGCGCACCTCCATTTTCAGGGGAAATCAAGCAAGAAATGGAGCATTCTTCACATTCTAAGGCGAAATATACGTCATCTAGAGTTGATTCACATGATTCGGCAGCCAAGTCACCTATAGAGAAGAAGACCCCTGCTGTAGATTTGAAGGAGAATCATAAACAGGAGACGTCAAACCCATCTAGGTTCGTTTGCACTTCCTCAAAATGTGTCCACTTTGACTAGTCTACTTACCAAAGCATTCAACCTTTGTAAACTATAACAATATTCACACTCAATCCAGGATTGGTAGACTCTGGCTGGGCTTGTGACTTGCTAGACTTGGAAACTTAGCTACTACTAGACTCGCATTGGCTCAGTTCTTACGGGCTTGTATTGGTTCATGTGAGCTCAATCCATGGCTTGCTTGTGTAGGATTGGTTTAATTCGTATAAGCTCAGATAAAAATAAAACAAACCTAGTAAGCCGACCTTCTTAGAGGTCAAGGGTTCAAGCCTTGCCAAAGGCGAGGAGTGTGAGTGAGTCTAATTAGGCACACATTGCCATATTTATATACCTCTTTGTTGACATTCATTCTTATCTTGTACTTCCTTGTGATAGGAGTGTTGGTGCCAAAACGGCTTCAGTCCCTTTTTCTACTCGTCTTCCCACATTTCATGCAAGGTATGCCACATAAGCTCCTTGAAATTGGTTACATTAATCTTTCTTTAGGAACTATTTGTTTAGCTTATATGTTGTTTGTTGAATTTAGCTCACTTGGGCCTTGGCATGCTGTGATAGCGTATGATGCATGTGTTCGGCTCTGCCTACATGCTTGGGCAAAGGGTTGCATGGAGGCCCCTATTTTTTTGGAAAATGAATGTGATTTGCTGCGAAGAACCTTTGGGTGAGTTAAAATTTCTTATATCCAATTTATCAGTGCCTTCAAGTTGAGAGCAAGATGTACCATGGATTTGACATCCACTTCCAAATCGGCAAAGATTATCTGGATATTTGAATGTTGGAAATAAATTTAGCAAAAATTTTAGAAATTCATAATTCATGAACTACTTAAAGTAAAATGAGTTGCACTGAGATTTTAGTTTTCAGATCAGATTTAAATCTTAATGCTTTCTACATCTCTCAGTGAAAAAAGAAGCCAACTGGAAAAGGCTATAAAATAAAATTTTAATTAAAATTTTAGATTCGAATGTTACTTAAAAAGGAAATCTTGTTTTCTAAGGACAATTTAAAAAAGTGTGTGCATTTTTGGAATGGTGGGTCTATGTTATACTTGCTTTTTTAAATACAAACACTTTCTATTTTGAATTGTTCAAAAAAGCAACATTTCCTTTTTTAGTAAGACTCGAAACTAAATTTTCTAAATGCAAATGAATGCTGGATTTTTAATATCCATTTGCTAAAAAACATTATCATTGTTGGGTCTGCCTGTTTTTCTACATTAACATTGATCTTTGCTGAACAGTTTGCAACAAGTGTTGCTACAGTCAGAGGAAGAGTTGCTTGTTAAGCGCTCTTCTGAAGTTCGTAGTGAAGGGGCTGCCCAAAAAACGAAGAAAATGGTTGGGAAGATGAAAGTGCAAGGTATTTCTAGCAACACTAGAGAATTGTCTTTGTGTGTATGTTACTTCACTTGACAAAATTGAAGTGGTTAAGAATAATCATAACTTATATTATTTATGGGTGCAGTCCGTAAAGTGAAAATGGCGTTGGACCCACCTACAGGATGTAGCTTTTCGTCAATAAAACCACCAAAAGTGAAATTGGAAACCGTTCGACGCCACTTTGCTAATTTACAATATAAAGTCTCTTCTGGATGGCGAGCAGTTCGTAGTATTCATTTTGCTCCTCGTGTCCCTGCACATGGTTCCTTTTCTCGCCATAGTTTGGCATACATGCAAGCAAGTACTCAATACATAAAACAAGTTTCTGGCCTTCTTAAAATTGGAGTCTCAACTCTACGCAGTAGTTCAGCTGGCTATGAATTACAAGGTTTGTGAATTTTATGTAATTATTTCTTATATGTAGGCTTTGAACTATGTTTGATAAAATTATATCTTCTCTACCACAATTTGGCCGATATATGCTGGATTACATGATGCCAGTTGTTCAAATGTGACAAAAGAATCCATTTACTGTGTGGAAATCTAGGGACTGATCTAGCAATGGCTTAGGGTGGGCCAAGGTAAAAGAGTTAGAATGTTAAACAGTTGACACAATGCCTATAAAGGAAAATAAAAGAACAAGAACTGAGTTAGACAAGTTTTCTTTGTTTTACAATCTTCCTTTACTTTCTATTATGAGTGTTTATTTTAAAGAAATCATTTTTATGAGAAAAGTAGAATGCTAAACCCAGGTTGTGATTTATTGATCGAGTTACATTATAAATTTTATTATGTTCTACGAACTTCCATTTTCTTTTTGTTATGATTGTTTATTTTATAACAATCTCTTTTATAAAAAATACACTTAAAACCTTGAGTTTATGTATGCATTTCTTCATCTATAGAAATATTTGAAGTTTACGGAATATCCAAAATGTAAGATAGGGCTCTTATTAAGTTCAACAATGGGTGGAAATATACAATTTTGTTAAATTTAAAGGAGCAAACACATCATGATTCCACCCAGCCATTGCTCTGTCCTTGTGTAGAATGGCCTCAAATAGGTATAGCTTCTTTTAGCTGCATTTTACGGAGCTCATTGTTGTTTTGAAATATTTGAAGCAAAAAGTAGTAGCTAACTGCGATTATTCATGATATCAAACAGAGTCATACTCTTGTCTGCTAAGACTTAAAAGTTCAGTCGAAGGAGATGCCATTCGAATGCAACCTGGTTCTGGTGAAACTCATATATTGTATGTATCCTTTGAATCCCAAATCTTGTTGCATCTATTATGTGGTTTGTCTAAGTTACAATAGTTACTGACTCATGAAATCACAGTTTGCCAGATAGCCTCGGGGACGATTTGATTGTGGAAGTGCAAGACTCTAAGGGAAATCATTATGGTCGTGTCCTGGCCCAAGTGGCCACTATTTCTGAAGATCAGGTAAAGATTTGACATCCCTTTTATCATATTTTAAATACCAGTCGAGTTTTGTTTATAGGAAAACTTGTACCTCTTTATACAGAATGACAAACTACGATGGTGGTCTATATACCGGGAACCGGAGCATGAGCTTGTCGGCAAAATTCAACTCTATATAAATTATACAACAAGTTTAGATGAGAATAGCCTCAAGGTGAGTTATCCCATTGTTAATGTTGTACACCCTTCCTGAAAATATTGCAACTTCGATAGATGTGTTTGATTGTCATTTGTAAAAATACTCTTCAAGAATGATTAATAGTCGGAATCTTGTGGACCTACATCAATATCATCAATATTTCCTAACCACAATGTGCAAACAGGTAATTCTAGCAGGAATTTTCATAGGAGAAAACATGACAATTTATATGGAACATACCAATATAGAAATCATTATACTTGTACCTTTTTTGGGACTGGGGGAGTAGTTGTGTCTGGTGCTAGTCTCTTTGCATCTCTTATTTTCTAAATTTAACTCAATTTGACTATTCGAACTTCTTGTTGACCGTCAAATTTCTAAAAGATCCTTCGATATTAGGGGACCAAGATGCATATCATCAATATTTTCGTAACTTTTACAATGGGCACATTTAGCTTGAAATATTATCAGAACAAGAATGTTAGGGGCATCACACAATAGGATTTGTTCTTTTTTGTGTGGGAATAGTTGTTTCCATTGCAAGTTCTTTACATCTCTTGTTGACTAAATCTAGAATAATTTGACCAAGCAATCCTCTTGGTTGACAGTGCGGTTCTATTGCTGAAACAATGGCATATGATCTTGCCATGGAGGTTGCCATGAAGGAGCAGAACTTTCAGCAAAGAAATTTGTTGTTGAATGACCCATGGAAGTGGTTACTCACTGAATTTGCATCATATTACGGGGTTTCCGATGCTTACACAAAGCTAAGGTACTGAGATGTTATCCGGTAAATTCCTATTTCTTCTCCCACACAATTATAGTTGAAGGAAATGGAAACTAAAAGTCATAGTTTTTGCAAGGTAAAGTATTTTGCTTACATCCACTGCTGATGCTGAGATTGTTATATATTATTCATAAATTTGGTACTACTTTCATAGAAGAATGAATACCCTATTATCAGTAGAAAACCAGTTTACCTTGAGGGATAGCTCAACAGATCAATGGGCAATAAGGCTTTGGCCTTTTGGGGCTCCTCCCCAAAAGTATGGTTGAGTCTCTCTAAGGCCACTCGTGATTTTCTTGGCTGTCACCAGGGGTCCCATGTGATTAGTAGAGGTGTGCAGAAGTTGGACTGGCACCCACGATTAACAAAAGAAAAAAAGTTGGTAAATGGATAAGACATGATAGTTGTAGACTGGTTTACAGTCCAAATCAAATTCCATGTCCCCTTTATGACATTAAAAATGTGATTCTAACCTTGTATCTACATGATTGATTTTTCAGATACCTCTCCTACATCATGGACGTTGCAACTCCAACAAATGATTGTCTCTCATTAGTATACGACTTGTTGTTGCCTGTTATAATGAAGGGACATACTAAGAGCACCCTCAGTCATCAAGAGGTAAACTTACATGTGCCATTTGATTTGCGTGGTCTAGGGGTAATTAACCTTGATCACAGTGTCTTTAATTTGTGTCCTACACTAAGCACTGTTCGCAAGACACTCCACTCTTTCTGGTAGAGGTTGGATCTGCTAACATCTTACCCCTCCACCCCACCTCTGGATGAGACATACTGGGCTCATTTGGTTTACTAAGCACCGTGACTTTATGCTTTTGGCAGAATAGAATATTGGGTGAGATTGAAGAGCAAATTGAACAGATTTTTGCTGTTGTTTTTGAGAACTACAAGTCCTTGGACGAGGCGTCTCCATCTGGCATCATGGATGTTTTTAGGCCGGCTACTGGGGTTGCAGCACCGGTTTTGGAACCTGCTGTGAAACTGTATAAACTTCTTCATGATATATTATCTCCCGAGGCACAAAATAAATTATACAGCTACTTCCAGGTTCACGACTCCACCATATTTGATAGCAATATTTGTGTTTAAGTAACTAATACTCCCCTATCTCATAAAAGTTTCAACAATTTTCATTTTGCAATGCCCCAAAATTATTCGTCGGATTGATTTCGGTCCATGAGATTTGCTCTTTTTGTCATCATTGAAGGACATTTTAGACACCAGACAAATAATTAAACCCTAATATAAAATAAAACTATGTATCTTGTACACTGTTGCAATTTTTATCCGATGTTATGTTATTTGTTTCTAGAATTCATGCTAGTTTAACAAATTTTTGCAATTAATATTAGGCTGCTTCCAAGAAAAGATCAAGAAGGCACTTGGCTGATACCGATGAATATCTTAGTACCAATGGGGAAGGAAATTTGATGGATCCTGTTAACGTCTCTACAGCCTATCAGAAAATGAAATCCCTTTGTCTAAACATCAGGAATGAGATTTTTACAGATATAGAGATTCACAATTGCAATGTACTTCCAAGGTAATTTTCTCTATCACAGATTTTTAGTAAGATTTCCATCTGATGATACCTTATATTTTGGAGACAGTGCACTATCCAATCACTATTCAGAACTTGGTTAGGCCTATCAATGTAATCATCCCCAAAATTTTGATAAGATAGAAGAGGTGTGGGAACACACTTTCACAAACGAGCTTCATATTTATCCAGTGAACATGATCTAACCGTTACCGAGGCTGCTATAAACCACCCACTGTAGACAAGGAAAAATGGTTCAAACAATTCGAGGGGTTCTTATTTCGTTCGATACTTGTGGCTAGGCAACCTCTTCTATCCATGTTTGCTGCTAATTGGGCTAACAGGTGTTACATTGGAAATCGCGGAAGGTTTGACTCAAATTGTTCTAGTTTATGATGGCGTTTGTGTGAAAGATGGCTTTGTAACTGAAGCAACGGATGGTCGTGATCTCACAGACAATCTAGCGAAATTGCTATGTGAACAATCACATGAGTTCACCAAGGCTCCTCGAAGGTGAGATGTCAATGACATTAAAAAGAGATGTTCGGGTATGTGGCCCAAAATTTTGAGGCCGAGAGTTAAATTATCCAACCAGAGAAGTACCAACTACCTGATTGAGTATGCATAATATTTAAATAAGAGATGTATAAATAAATGCGACGGACGTCTTTTGCAGCCAAGGGGAATACAAGGAGATGACAGTAAAGGTATTCATCGACTCGTCATCAAAAGCTATCATGCAATCTCCTAGAGTTGTGCAGAATGTGGATGTTTAACCTTGTTCCGTGGCTTGGCTCAACGTTTAAGGAAGGAAATGGTGGATGCTCTGAACGATGAGGAGATCGTGAAGTTTTACAAAGGAAGAGGAGCCATAAGTGCCTTGATAGAGGCCGCATGCTTGCTCTATTACGCGACTTCCTGAATAGTGAGAGCATGCGGCATCCTATCAAGGCATTTTTGGCTCCCCTTCCTTCGTAAAGCCTTCATCCTCCCCTCTCCGTTCAAAGCATCATCCATTTCTTTCCTTAAACGTTGAGCCAAGCCACAAAATGAGGTTGAACCTCCACCCATTATGATATTCCTCTCCATACTTCTAAGACGATCCATCTTCTGCACAATTCTGGGAGACTGCGTGATCTCTTTGATGACGAGATGATGAATACATTTACTATCATCTCCCTGTATTCCCTCAGGCCGAAAAAGATGTTCGCTGCGTTTATACTTCTCCGATTCAAGTCTTACCCATACTCCATCATGTAGTTCGTACTTCTATAGTTGGACAATTTGACTCTCAGCCTTAAAGTCTTGGGTCACTTACCCGGACATCTCTTTAATGTCATTGACGTCCCCCATTTGAGGAGCCTCAGTGAACTCTGTGCTGCTTGTTTTCTGAATAGTTTCACAAGATTTTCTGAGATCACAATCACCCATTCCTTCAGTTACATGGCCATAATTCATACAAGCGCCTTGTAAAACTGGACAATTTGGGTCAAACCTTCCCCGATTTCCAACAGGAACTTGTTAGCCAATTAGCGACAAACATGGATAGAACAAGTTGTTTTGCCACAAGTACCTAACGAAATGCGAACCTCTCGAACATTCTTTGAACCATTTTTCCTTGTCTGTAGCGGGTGGTTTATAGCGGCTTCGCGGCCTCAGTAATGTTAGATCATGTTCACTGGGATCAAAAAATGAAGCTCGTTTGTGGAAGTGTGTTCCCACACCTCTTCCATTTTATCAAAATCCGTGATAATTCCATGCTTGATAGGCCTATCTAAGTTCATAATAGCTTGATTGGATAGTGCACTCTCTCCAAAATATAAGGTATCATCAGATGGGAATCTTACTTCAATCCGAAATTCTACGATGCATCAATAACATCTGAACAATAATCTGGCATGGAAGTGTGTAATGTCAAAATTAAATAATAGATTTCATGTATCTGCTCTTGATATCGACTCCCATTTTCTAGAATATACTCGCTCTGTTTCTTAATAAGCGTCCATCTCTATCTTTAGATGTCAAGCCTGGTACTTGAAAAGTTTAAAATTAGAAGTATTTGGAAAATGCAAATCGAGATTTTGGGTACTCAGTGTGAACATCCACTGCTTTAGTTGTAGTGGACAATTGTACTGTATAATCACTTGCTCTTTGCCGTCAAATTGCTTTGTTGTGTTTTTTGGACAAAAATGCTATCTAATAAAACAGAAAAGATTTAAACTGGTGGCACAATTTGACTATAAGAAAAAAATCTATAGAATTTTTTCATAATTAGTATAGATCTATTGGTTGGTTCCTTGTCACAGCACAAAAGGAACCCACGTTCAAGTCCACTCTTCTAATTTTTTTAAAAACACAGAAGATATAAAACACACCAAAAAGATAAGTAGAAAACTAAACAAAAGTGGGACTCGAACCCAGGCCTTTTGCAAAAAGGCAGCAACATTTACCAACTCTGCCATTAAAGACTTGTGCTAATGGTTTAGTTTCAAAAAAATATGTGGGCACCCAACAAAACAATACGGTGGTACACTTCAGGAAACTTAATATTTTTTCATTACGACGGAACCATGTTACAATCCTTAAAGTTTGTGAACACTATTTTGCAGCTTCATTGACCTACCAAATCTTTCATCTGCAATATACAATGCTGAACTGTGCAGCAGATTACGATCCTTCCTTGTTGCCTGCCCTCCAGAAGGTCCTTCTCGTCATGTTACAGATCTTGTAATTGCAACAGCAGATTTCCAAAAGGATCTTGCAACCTGGAATATCAAGTAATTAATTTATAAATCTTGTCCCCTCATCATATTCTTGCTAATTGTTCTTTGCACAACTTAATTCAAATTCTTTCTCAGTCCCGTTAAAGGTGGGGTTGATGCAAAAGAACTGTTCCATTTGTATATCATCATTTGGATTCAAGATAAGCGCTTATCATTGCTTGAGACGTGTAAACTAGACAAGGTATGTGCCAAGTTCCCACAATGTTTTTCACGAGTCTTGTTCTCATTTGACGACAGTTGCATTTTCTATTTTATGGTTACAGTTTGCTGTTATATAATATAAACACGTTTGATAAGAGTATCTCATTTTTTTAAAAGGTGAGGTTAGGATAAGGATAGGAAAGAGGTCTGAATTCAAAACGGCAACCTTATGGACCTACAGTAGTCAACGAGTGTTTTTTTTTGTAAACCTATATTCTGAAGTAATGGAACATCGAATCAAGCTTATAATTTATAATTTGTGTTTGAAGAACTTGCAAACTAAGTATGGTTTCTTAAAGTGTACACTATTAGAAATGTCAATGAAACAAAAACAGGAAGTTTGTGGCATTGATTTTGGCTCTCAAAGATTCTTCTATTTGTGTCCATTTGTTACTGAGCCTTTGATAAATAGTAAAACATTTATTTAAACTATGTCAAGTCAAAGATGACATTTTTCATTGGGTTGAAGGAGTATTTAAACTATATCAGGGAGGGAAAAAATGTTACGAATAGAAAAAGAGTAGGGGTTAAAAATGTGGAGTGTATAATAACTATAAATTCAGTAAAATACAAGTTTGAAAAGTCAAAGGATGGCAACTAATGATAAAAAAATGTTTGTGAATTTGCAGGTAAAATGGTGTGGAGTCGGGACGCAACATTCAACAACCCCGTTTGTGGATGAAATGTATGACCGTCTTAAAGAAACATTAAATGATTATGAGGTCATAATATGCCGATGGCCGGAGTATACCTTTGTTTTGGAGAATGTATGTCCTTATAATTTATTTCTCCTAAATATCTTTATTTCCTCCCGACCATTTAAATGGGACCCACAATATAAAATGTTGTTCATAAGTAGCTTTATGTTGGGCTCTCTTCTAATCCAAAAAATATATATTTTTTTACTTTGATAATTGATAAATAGGCCATTGCGGACATTGAAAAGGCGGTAATCGAGTCTCTGGACAAACAATACGCGGATGTTGTTGCACCTTTAAAAGAGAACCTAACGCCAAAGAAGTTTGGCTTGAAGTATGTCCAAATGCTTGCCAAGCGAACCACGAATCCTTATGTGGTGCCTCCAGAGGTTTGTCTAGTTTCATTTCTGATAGTAAAACACCCTCAATATCCATGAAAAATGTAACGTTTCCCTTGGCATATTGCTTAAGGAATGTGTTAGATCATTTGCCACATATTTAAAATAAGATAAAAGAAACCTTGAAGACCAACTCAACTAGCTTGGGGCTCCTCCATGGGATTAGTCGAGGTGCATATAAGCTCGCTTGGACACCCATAGTTACAAAAAGAAGACGATAAAAGAAATCTCCGCTTTATTTGTAATGATGAAAATGTGCAAATAAGTGAGTTCAGTTTAGAAACATTCCAATCTCCGTTCATATCTTCGGTTTCTAATTTGAAAATTCGTGTATTTGGCTTTCAATTGCATCTCCATTTTGGACATATGTAATTGGTTATTCAACTCTAATGATTGGGTTCGTTTCTTGATTCAGCTTGGCATTCTCTTAAACTCGATGAAGCGTATGTTAGATGTTTTGCGTCCCAAGATTGAACTTCAATTGAGGTCGTGGGGTTCATGTTGCATTCCGGATGAAGGAAATACCGCAGCCGGAGAGCGTTTAAGCGAAGTGACGGTGATGCTTAGATCAAAGTTCCGAAACTATCTTCAAGCAGTTGTTGAGAAACTTGTTGAGAATGTGAGTGCCACTTATTACTTTATTGAGTAATTAACTTTCTAAAACCATTGTACGTGGTTTTATATTGCACACAGATCATTCTGTTGCTAAAATGCAAAGAAACAACTACATTTGCAAGAATGAGTGACATGGATTAAAAATGTCAAATATTCTACATTTTTTCCAAAAACACCCCTTCTCTACTAAATTAGTGTTCTTTTCTGTTCAAGAATGATGGTTTGTTTGTGATAAAAAGTCAAGTATTATGAATTTTTTCTCTTAAAGGCATTTGACTTCATAAAAGATTGTACTTGCCTTATTGTTGCAAAGTATACGTCTTTCTTGAATAAATGCTAAAAGAAAACTATAGTTTACACAAGAATTGGCAATACCATGTGTAAAGCTGGCAAACTAGTGAATACATACATAAGCTAGATGTTGGTTGAAAAACCTAACTGTTGGCTAATAAGCTACTTGTTGACTCATAAGCTAGCTAATAAACTAGTCACGTTTCGTAAAAACTAGCCGATAAGCTAGATAACACTGTAAATGACCTAAAAGGACTTTCGAGAAGATAATAGGGGCATAATTGGAAAAAATGGGAAAAAAGCCTCTAAAGCTTATTGTTTCAAAAAGCTAGCTTATAAGCTAGTTTATAGCTAACCGCTGGGCTTTCTCAGTAAGCTTAAAAAATAAGGTAGCTTACGATTGCGAAACATTGTTTTTTTTTTTTGTAAGGGTGTCCGGGCCAAAGCCCGACTAATCCCCGGCAAATTTGGAGACTAAACATGGCCCCACTTAAATGTCGCCAACATTCCCCTCCCAGGGATCGAACTCGGGTTCATGACTATGCCATGCCCAAGCCTTTACCACTAGGCTGGAAGGTCTTTGACTGCGAAACATTGTTTATACCATCATTGCTGTCATATTTCCAAAATTGCTTATTCTTGCAAAGTGCAAATTTCTTTTTGCATTCCGTAAGAACGATGGTTTGTTTCCAATGAGAGTATTGTTCCTTTACAACGGATCATCATATTTGTGTGGAACAGACAAGGCTTCAAAGTAGTACAAGACTAAAGAAAATTATTCAAGATTCAAAGGAAAGTGTGTCAGAATCCGAGATTCGAAGCAGAATGCAACCGCTAACTGAGCAGCTTACGAACACTGTGACTCATCTCCACACCATCTTCGAGACTCACGTTTTCATCGCAACATGTCGTGGATACTGGGATCGGATGGGACAGGTGAGTTTTATATTATTTGTATTTAAACAACTCTTAAAATTTAAAAAAAAGAGAGATAGAAAGAGAATCTTGTTTGGTAATTTGACATGTAAATTTGTGATGATGTTGCTACAGGATATTTTAAATTTCCTTGAGAACAGGAAAGAAAACAGATCATTGTACAAAGGCTCAAGAGTTGCTGTATCTGTGAGTACCTCTCTTTTATTATCCTTTTATTTAGGGGTGTTCCTTTCACGGTGTGGTGTTTGCGATTAAAATCAAAACCGCAAACCTAATAAAACCGCGCTGCAATTGTTTTGGCGGTTTGATGAACACCCCCTACTTTTAGTTATTATTATTCCACACGATAAACAACGTTAAGAACCAGATGGGTTCTCATGGGCCCCTACCCCACCCATCTGACTGGGGGTAGAATGTATACATACCTTGCCTCTACCCCCAAAGAGTAGAGAAAATGTTTTCGTGAAGACCCTCGGCTTGCAAAATAAAACAAAAATACAAGGAGACGGGTGAGAGAAGTAACATAGTAATATACATTATATATGACCTTATATCCCATATTACATCATGAGTGAATGCAAAAATACCTACATACATACATGATACATAGGTGCATAACGCATAGTGGAATACATACATGCATACACATGTATAAAGTGTGTGTATATACATACATACATATATATACATGATATATATATATATACATACATACATACATATATATACATGATATATATATATATATATATCAAGAGGTTGGGTTCACGTAAGACAAACCTGTTTTTGTGAGACCACTTTTTTACACTTGAAATTTCATAGCAAAACGCTCTGAAGGTAAAAAAAACCTAACCTTCACAACAAAAACACTGTGAAGTTACGTTCACAGCGTTTTGCTGTGAAGTTTCAAGTGTAAAAAAATGGTCTCATGGGTTTCACGAAAACAGGCTAGTCTCACGTGATCCCAAGTCTATATATATGAAGTGTGTCCGTGTATATATACATATATACATATACATATACACATACATACATATACATATATATACACATACATACATACATATACACATATACATATAAATATATATAATATATATGTATAAAGGTGCAGGTTCTTTAGGAACCTTATTTTGATTAAGAACCGGGGGATCACGACGTATTTATCATGAATATTGTATGGATGTATAGTTATGATGTATAATACATCCATAGTCATCATGAATCATGAATGTGGACGTGTTATTCATCATGAATATTCATCCTAAAGAGGACATGTGACGCGTTGTAGACGGTTCCCTGGTTTCTAATCAATTTTGATTCCTAATAGAACTTTCCTCTCTCTGTATATAAAAACATACCTACATGTATGTATATATGCTTATTTGTAGTCATTATTTGATAAATTTGCAGATTTTGGATGATACATTTGCATCCCAAATGCAAAAACTGCTTGGCCATGCACTTCAAGAGAAAGACCTTGAACCACCAAGATCCATCATCGAACTCCGCTCGATGCTCTGCAAAGACACCGGCACTTCTAGCCACAAAAAGAACACTTACTTCTATTAGAAATCATTCTTGTCGTAAATAAGCAGAAAATCAATGATGCATCACATCTGATCATCATGGCCATCCATCCCATCAACACAACGGAAAAAGGTGGTCAACCTCGGCTGCACCCACTTCGGTTTTGTGTCGTTTGAGGTCATAAAATTCATTCGGTTCTTGACATTTAACGAGTACAGAAATAGGCTAGTTTGCTTGATATATTATCCATGTACAAGGTCCATGTCTTCAATGCATTGGATTTAAATCTGTACAACAATGTTCGTGGAAAGATCAATCTTAAAGTCAAATAGTTAACATGTGTTTATTTAGTCGGACTTTTTATTAAAAACTTGTTTACATTATTTTGTACATTGATTCGTTCTTTAAACATTAACATTGGCAAACATCCTTTTCTATCCGGTTATCGCATTTTGGAAAACAAAAACATCATCAATCGAGGAATCGATGTTGAAATATTATAATTTTGCGTATATTTCTTCTGAAGACTAATATTTCAATCATTAATTTTTTCAAAAGAGTCGTGTTGTCCATTGTTCAATGAGGGGTTATAGCAAAGACCGATGATCTTACCTAGTGTGGGAGAAGGCTCTACCCCTGTAATTATAAGCACTTATCGGGTAAAAGACATTTTACCAGCAATCCATTTTGATTGTCAAGAATGTTACGTAATAAAATAAGTGAAGGTGGTGCAGTCACCTGTAAACGGTTTGGTAAACGACCCCTAAATTATATCTATCAAAATTAAATACTAAAAAGATAGAGGTATGAAAATTAAGTACTAAAATATATATATATATATATATATATATATATATATATATATATACCCCACAAAATTAATTACTTAAATGTTTTAGTTGCATGTATCAAGGGAAAATGAAACCAAAATCAAGACCAATGTGTTGCTTGATTCATTGGATTTCAACAAAATAGAATTCGAATAGTCAATTTCGTTGAACAAATTCCATTTTCGGGCTTGGTTTTTGAAATTCATTGGAATCTATTAATTCCTTTTGAATTCCTTCATTCATATAATTGCTTATCCCTTGGGTTTTACTAAAGATTGGACATTTCATTCCGTACCAAGACTTGAGAAAAGAAAATCCTACCCCCATTTTATGAGCCCTAACATAAAAACACATCCGCACCTACGTTGTGTTGCTGCTACCACCACTTTCACCACCACCACCATTGTCATCACCATCACCCTTGCCATAGACGTCGCCAACCACGCCGGTGTAGCCACCACCGCCACCATCATTTTTGTTGCCACCACCACCATCGATGAGGTCACCGCGGCCATTACCACTATCGTTGTCGCCACCACTATCCATGTCGTCAACGCCACAACTAGAACACCACCACTACCACCACCGTCGTTCTAGTTGCTATCATCACTGCCACTAGCACCTTAGCCACAACTGTCATAGCCGTCGTCACCACCACCATCATTGTTGTTGCCACTACCACAGTTAGCGCCACCACAAATTAATTAATATTATTAAATTTTATCATCTTATGATATTTATAATTTAAGTAAGAAAGTATGAAAATGTAATAACATTGTAGTTTGGTTATTTATTATTATTTCATTACAATTCTGAAGTTATATTCTACGAACCAAATAAACAAATTCCATTTTGAATCCTACCAATCAAATGCATGATCGAATTCCACTCCAATTCCCTTTAGATTATAGTTCCTTTGACAGATTCCATTATGCAAACCAAACGCCACGCAATAGGTGCCAACAGATCATTGGACGTATTGGAATTGACAGTTTGATATATAAAGATATTTTGGACCATCCTCTTAGGGGACATTTGCTTTGCAAAATGGAATTTGATGGAATTTGAATCCATCAAAGGAATTTGATTTTGAAGGAATTGGGATGAAATTCGATTGATTTGAACACAATTTGGTTCAATGGAATTGGAATGGAATCTCTCAAAAGAATTGTAATATTCATCTTTGTTTTGAGAGAGGGTGGGGGTGGGAGCTGTGATGACGACAGTAGTGGCCTGGTGGTACCTCTACCCCCACCCCATCGACTGTGCCACTACTATCGTCATCACAACTACCACCTCACCCTCGACCTCATGGTTGTTGTGACAACGATATCAATGGCATGGTGGTCAGTGGATAGGGTGGGTGGTAACTACAACAATAGTGGCATGGTGGTCAGTTAGGTAGGGGTAGGGTGGGTGGTGATAGTTGCGACGACGACAACAGTGGCATGGTGGTCAGTGGTGTTGGATGGTGGGTGGCCGTTATGATGATGATAGTAGTGGCATGGTGGTCGGGTGGTAGGGTGGGGCCGTTAGTAGGCATGGCAACGGGCCAGGGATGGGGCGGGTTTTGTAATCCCCGGCCCCGACCCCGGTTTGTAGTAACGTCCCCCGGCCCCGACGGGTTCAGGGATTATTATCCCGTCTCCAGTCAAATCTTTAACAATCCCTGGTCAAAACTTGGTAAAACCCCGGTCAATCCTGGGTCAAACCCGACCCCGGTTTGAGTAACATCCCCCGTCCCCGGCCCCATCCCCAGTTTGTGTCTACCGGGGATCCCCGGCCCCGGGACCCGTTTTAGAGGGGAATCCCCGTCCCCGCTCGGGTCGGGTGAACTGGGTTCCCCACCGGGTCGGGGCAAATCACCATCCCTAGCCGTCAGGAGTGGTTTACGGATAGATGACGGGCTAGGGATGGCAGTTGTGACAAGGACAATAGTGACATGGTGGTCAGTGGTGGGTTGGGGGTAGGAGTGAGTAGCAGTTGCGACCACGACAGTAGTGGTGTGGTTGGGGGTAAGGGTTGGGGCTGTGACATTGAGAATGGTAGCTTGATCATGGTTGGGGAGGGGGGAAGGGTGTTGATTAAATTTGATGCAAAGAGATGAAATTCAATTCCTTCATTTATGCCAAGGAATGATGAATTGTAACTTGTGGAATATTGAAATTTAATGGCATTCAAAGGATTCTTTTATTTTCATTATGTGAACCAAGCATGGGATTTAAAATTTTGTCAAAGGAATTATCCATTCCAATTCCTTGGAGTTCCTTCAAAATCCATGAACCAAAGAACACCCCCTTAGGTTCTTTGAACGACCAACAATATTTTATATCATGCGTATACAATTACTCAAGTTGTGGATACCTATATCTCATATATGAAATAGAGAAAAATGGAGATTTTGGACAAAATTTTGTTCCAACAGATACTCCAAAAAGGAGAAAATATGTGAGTGTAAAAAAATCTCCAACAACTATACTATAATTTTTCATATAATAGAGTATGAAAGTTAAATCTCTAAAAGACATTAGATTCAGCTCCAATGACTATTTTATTTTAGCAATTCTAACATTAACTATATTAATAAAATATTCAATATATTTAATAAAATTATTTCTCACTCCTACACATATAATTTCAATACCTCCAATTGGTGGGAAATAATAAAAATATTATTTCTCTCTTTTCTATAGAGTTGTAGAGATTTCTCTAAATTTTGAAATTTCCACCTTATCTTTTTTTCTTTACTTTAGCATATCATTTAACATAGCTATTGAAAATGCTCTAAATTCTCCAAATTCATAGAACTCTTAAAAAAAATGATAATTATAAGTGATAAACAAAATTTTAGAAGTCCTTGAGAATAAACTTGAAAAAAAAAATCCCATATGCTTAAGCTGGAAGTCATTAATTAGAAGGCCGCTTAATTAAGCCATATTGTGAACATAAGTCAGTTGAACAATGAAAGCTTTATTGAGTGAAACTAGGTTGGTATCAAGTGTTTGGTTGTTAAAGAAAAGAGTGTTGGGATTTATTTATAAATCTAATAATAATTGTAGGCTTACATGTTATTATATAATTATATTACGCTATTTAAGTAATGAGCTAATTATGTGATCAATTAAAGAGAGCTCATTAGAACCCAATTTGGTATGGACTTAATGAGAGGAAGCCCATTAGGTTATAATTAGGGTTTAATGGGAATCCTAATTACAACTCTATATAAAGACGACTAGGGTTATGGTTCCCACACACCAAAATCATTACGTTCATTCTCTCTCCATTGAAAGAACATCAAGGATTTTGCGTTGAGGAAAGCCGTAATTTCGAATCTACGTTTCATACTCAAGCCTAACTAATGGAGACGGGTACGCGTATTCTTATTCGTATGTTCTTAATAATTCATTGTGATAATCTTTGATTCAACAAGTGGTATCAGAGCCACGTTTTCACATTGAATTATTAGAAATAATTAGTTTTTTTTGTAGTATAATTGTTTCGTGAGGTGAATCGTTTTGCTATGGGGATTTAAAAGAATTTTTTATTCTGTCGCCAATGATTCGAATAAATAAAAAAAACTTTTTTTTTGGATTAGAGTAATCATGTGAAACAATTTCGATGGATGATTTTTTTTAATGGATACCAATGGTTTGAGATTCTTGCCGCCGTTTATTGTTCTTTAGATTCGTGATTATTATTGTTTTTTCGTTTCTCTAGAACTCAAGTTTGACAACCATATATTGTATAAATTGTTTATATATACATATATATATATATATATATATATATATATATATATATATATATATATTGTGATATCCATATAAATTCTTGTAATATTCATAATCTGGATCTTTTATATATCTAGAACAACGTTATATATTGGATGCTTATGTATTCATTACGTACCTCTTTTTTTAGGTGAAACTGATTACTACCATGACAATTGTTATATTTTATTATTGTTATTCGTTGTTGTCAACGAAAAAGAAGTTTTTTTTGTTTAAGATAATTTCTTTCGTTCAATAAAGATTATGTTATGGCTTTCGGAGGATTTTGTTTGTTAGTTGGGCTATTAAGAAATAAATAATATTTTCCATTGAGATTAAGTGTAGATTGTTTGAAACATTAGTTTTGATGGAGTTAAATTATATCAAGATTCAAACTCTTTTATTATGTTTGCACTTAATTGTCTTGTATTTTAAAATAAATTGATTGACATAATATAGTTGCCAAAGTAACCTATGTTGTGACAATTAATTTATTTTAAGTTATAAAGATGAGTATATTTGTTATTTATGCGAATAGTGATTGGCCCAAAGAAAAATTATTATTTGGCCAGATAATTAATATACATGTGGTAATAAATATGTGATTATTATAAAGTTTTCCATGTGAGCAATGACTGGCCTAAAGGAAGGGTATTGTTTGATAGGATTTATTTTCAATATTTGATTACTACGTTGAGAGTACCACTTACAAGTTAATATTTT